CCGCTGCCATTCCTATCAATTGCAGCGTACGTTGCGCCTGCACCCTCAAACGTGCAGCACGCTCTCTTACGTCTTCCATTTCCTCGTCGCGTCTGTGTCTCCTCGCGTTACGGTCCACCTCAGGGAGGGAATATCCATGTTCCCTATGATGTTATACTCTGCTCTTTCTCCTTTTTTCCCTTGTCTAGTTTTTCTATAAAATAACACAAAATTCGATCACGACGCGTAGCTTCAAAAGCAGTTATCACGATGGCGGGAGGGTTGTTGATTTTGATGACGTCATTGAACTTCACTAGTGGAACAAAGTTTAGAGGCACTCCGAACCACACCCCGCTAAGGGGTAAAGTCCACCAATGGCGTTTGATGAAGTCACCAGAACCGCGTGCCCTCCGGCCATCGTTGTCACTGCTTTTAAAGACACTATGAATCGGTCAATTCGCAACTGAATAGGTTTAAGTTATTGCCTTACGAATAACGAAAATAATCGTGCTGATTGGTCCACTAAGGTGAAGGAAAGCAAAACGAAGAGAAAACTCTCAGAACTACTATATTGCGCGCCGATCATACGGGCGGGTTGCGCGCTCCTTTCAGAATCTCCCTGGATGATCAATCATCCACCTTATTTACCATTTCAGCGACAGACTGACCAATGAGATCCGCATGGGGCTGGGCGCAAACCCCGCCCACAAATCGAAGAATAATAAAAAAATCAAAAAAATGCTTCGATTTTTTAGTAACTTAAAAAAATTGCAGCATTTTTTTGCTTCTTTCATTACTGGTGAAGCGACTACGACAATTATTTTCATTTTTAAGCGCAACGACCACAATCTATTCATGTGCGAAATGTGCCTTGAATGCTAAATGAGCAAAAACCTTCACGAGTAGCCGAAAGAAAAAACTCAAAGGCAAGAATCGGGATGACATAAGTGTGGAAGAGCGTTCTAATGAAGCTAGAGGTGACAGTGGTCTGGAAAAGAAAAAAAAAGCAAGAGAAACCCCCGATTACGCCTCAAATAAGGACCTCTTTTATTTCAGCCGCATTCTACTTTGGGATAGAGAAGGGGCGTGGGTCCATCAAGCTTCTAGCGCCTCTGTCGCGCACTTTAGCCGCAAAAGCGGCGCGACATCAATGCTTCTCCTCCTGTCTACTACGCTCGGGTATGGAATAGGAATACGCTCAGGATAGCATGCCTAATCCCGGAACGTGCCTTCAAGTGTCGCTATTTATCGCTCTGTGGAACTCACAAAATACACTCGCAGGCAAGCTTCAGATGTATAAAACATTTTTATACGAAGTTATACGAAACGTGTTCTGGTCACGTGCTGCAGCGCAGAGCAACGAAGACGAATGACTCGTCCCACTAATGGAATACTACTTCGAAAGAATGCAGACGAAAACAAAGGAGAAGAGGATGGAGATGCCATTCACCTTCAAAGATTTAGAGGTGAGTTGCATTGTACGGCAAATGAAAGGGAAAAACCTGGACCAATTCAATTCTCCTTTGGACCGTGCACATTGGTATCCTTAAATTTGTTGGCATGGGAGCGCGTAATTGGTCAATATGTGAATTGTGAAGATAAGTAAATGCTTAAAGGCATACCCCAGGATCACATTGGTGTGGCCCATGTGCACGAATGTGATTGTACTGGTGGGAAGTGGGCCGGCAGTAAAGAAAAAAGGAAAAGAATCCGTCAAAAACGCTTAGGTTAAGGGCTCACTCACCTTCCTGATCGGCTGTGCTAAGGGAATGAGAGACTAAGCGCGGAGAGGAGAGTATGAGGCGAGAGAGCACTACAGATGAGAGAGCGCCAGACAACAGCCTGATAAGAAAAAAAAGTCTGCAGCTTGGGCAGCTTACTTTGCAAGGCCTAAGCGCTCTTATCGGTCGGTTTCCGTGCACGAGGACGCCACATCTGTGATTGTCCTCTAGGGTTCTATACTAGTGACCGAAGAGAAGCGTTCACACGAACTCTGCCTGGGTTGTGCCTTTAAGCCTGTTAACCTTCGAACTAGCAAGATATCAAATATTTGTTTCCAACGGAAAGAGATTGTATGTACCGCCCGGTGGTTTGATTTTAGGCGACTGCGCGAAGCGTATTGTGAGCCTTTGTGTTCCTTTAGGATGCAAATGAATATATAATAGTATTAAAATTTTTATGGCATCAATAACATCTATACTGTATCTGACCCTGCAGGTTCCTGTACTTATTCCCTTGAGACACTCTGGACTGGATCTCCAAGAAGGTAAACAGTTTAAGGTGAGGTGGAATTTAGAAGTCGACTAGGGTCAACCACTTGGTCTTTTTCGATCGCTCTAACCAGGGAGTTTCTTCCAGGAAATGCCCAGCCTTCTCGGAACGCTTTTTTTTTGCATGATATAGAGGCATGTGCACGGAACACAGAACTGTGGTTCAGTTTTCATACCAAAAAAGGAGCGAACAAAAATTTATTAAGACTTTAATTTATTAAATTTATAAATTTACTATTAATTTACTAGTTCTTAGTTTTCTTCACCCAGCTTCTTAGCCAAAGTCTACGTAGAAAGATTGCTGCTGTCCCCAATCATAGATATGACGTATGTTGTTTACGCTGATGCTATTTTCGCGAATTTTGAAGCGCCAACGTAAAATGCAAGAATTTGCCACTGTGAGGATTCTATGGACCTGGCTTCATCGCCTCTTTTTAAGTATTCAGAGGAGCGCGCTCTGGAAAATGGAACTACAGTTTTTGTTCCAGCACCGTCATCCTCCATTCATGGAAGAAAAGCTTGCCATTTACTGAAGGACTTTCCTCGTAAGATACCATCTTGGTAAGGATGTGAACAGGGCTTTCAAGGATGTGATTCTGGTCACCAATCGCTGGAGTAAACTCGTGCGCGCTCATATAAGTATCTAGTTGGCCACCTGTGATTATACTGGCGTGGTCTGGCCTTCGCATATTTCGCTTTGAGGACATTGTTAATGAAAATTCTGACACTATTATTCCGAAAGAAAGGGAGGAAGTGGTGTAGTGACAAGTGGCGCGCTTACCACCGCGAGCGGTCCGGGGATCAAATCCTGGGTCGTGAGTCGCCCGGGCCAACCAAGCCTTCCATCCCTCCGGGGTCGGTTAATTGGTACCAGACTTGTCTGGGAGGATAAAAACACTGACTTGTACATCGGCTGGCCCCCGCAAGTCATTGTATAGGCCACATCGCATTCAAACGCCACTACGAATGTACAAATGGAAGTAGAATGCGTGCCGCATCCCAAAAAGGATTGATCAACGGCAAATGCTTTATCCTTTATTTATTATTCCGAGATTCTGGAAGGTTCACAATGTGAAAACTTAATTCATTGACAAGCAATTGAGCAAGTACTGGATTCTCAGCTCTTTAGTTTTCAAAGAGAAAAATTCATCCCTCATAGTCCCCACGTTATCCCTTGCTGGAACCAGGCATTATTTTTTCGAAATTATTTAGTTCTTTTGTGCCATACGAGGTTGATAATTGGGACCTTTTATTGGCTTATTACCTTTCATTAACTAAATTTTCAAAACATTTTTGCCCATACTAATATTACTAACGGGGCGTGAGCTGATGCTCCGCAGAACTGGTTGAACCTTGGCCTCTGAAGAAGACGAAAAGGTCGAAACGTCGGGCCAGTTAATAAAACTTTCCAATTATCAACCTCGTGTGGCATAGAATAACTAGATATTTCTCATTTTTTCTTATTATTGCGTTCCCGAAGTATCCTTCAATCGTACTGATACGTGCTGTGATTTCCAGAGCGATGCTATAGCTTAATTTCCTTTAGGAAGACTACCATCGCACATTGCCGTTCACTTGTGGCCAGACGACCTTCGCTACAGGCCTTTGGCTACAAACCGGCGTCATTCGGAAAGGTGGATCAAACGACGCTACACGTGTACAGGAAATACTAGCCAGACTTCACAGCGTGATCGAGGACACGGCAGCGGCCCACAAATGGCAACTCGCTAAGAATCCCTAACTTCTGGTCGACGTGAAACATTTGAATAGCCCACAATAAATCTCAACCCCAGTCATATCATTTTTAGCAGAAGTTTAAAATCACAGTGAACTACCCATTACAGTAATGGCAGTATACACCATGAAATATGTAACTCTTGATATCTATTTGGAACTTCAAAATTTGATTGTATTTTCAACAATAACAAACACCTACATAGTGCTTGAAAAGAACCAAAAGTACAACACTTGTCACACAATTTTTCATAAAAACAAAATGAAAACAGAACATATTGGCGTGAATTCCATTCCCCATAAGAATTACATCGCCAAATTATGATTTTGTAAGTGTCTAACCCAGCTGGTTAGACGAAAATTACCCTAATTTCTGGTACATAAGCCCGTGCTGATATTACGTAAAAACACCTCCGCTCGTGCAGTGTAATTTTGTACACCTTAGAAACTACCGTAAATTTGCCTATAGAGGTAATTCGATGCCCTGATTACGAAAATGACTTTCATTTTTAGCGTTGGCGTCATCTTGTCCACCACCTGCTTTCATCAAATTCGTGTAAACTTCGTATAGGGGTTATTTGGTGTCCTGATTACGAATATGACATTCATTCTCGGCGCTGGCGCTATTTGGCGCCTATTTTCTGCTCGTCTGCGCTCTCCAACCGAGAATATGCACTTGAACAACGTTAATGCCAAAAACGAATGTCATATTCGTAATCAGGGCACCAAATAACCCCTATACTGAAGTTTACACCGATTTTGGTGAAAACAAAGGTCGTGACAAGGTGACGCCAACTGGCGCCAGATGCCGCCACCGCTAAAAACGAATGTCGTTTTCGTAATCAGCATATCGAATTACCCCTATGGGCAAGTTACGGTTGTCTCTAGATGTACGCAAGCGCACTGCACCAGCGGAGGTGTTTTACGTTCGGCGAGGGCTCATCTACCGGGAATTAGGGTCATGCTCGCTCATGAAGGGGGCATGGCGGGCCACACAATGGGATACATGCATTATGGAGGCGCAAAAGTGATTGGGCATACTTCATGAGTATCCAACTACTCGTCCAGGGTTGAGACCGCCATCAACGTCACCAATGAGGACAATGAGGAAGTGGTATGCCAAAGGTCGTGAAAATCATAAAATGATAGAAGAGTGCAGGGGCGGTTTTGAGCACGGCTTTGAGCAGATGTTAACTGAACAGAAAGTCTATTTCGTCAACATTTATACCTTTCTCTCGAGTCTGTTCCAACAAGAGGTACTGTGCGGTCACTCGCGACAACCTCGGTTTAAAAACCTTTCCCACACCTAGTAATACAAGAAAAGGTAGATGCATGATAATTAAGCATTCAAGTTTTTGTAAGAGGAGGAAATGCCGGGTTCCGTTTTCGGTTATGTGATCTCAAATAAGAAAATTGATGTTCATAGGCAATTGCGTATTTATATGCGATACATTGTCACATAGGAGACTTTTTTCGAAACATCTGTATTTCTGAGATTTTGGGAAATTCTTAGGTGGACGTATAATTATGGGACGCAGCGTAGCAAACGGATGTCCTTATGCATCACCTGTTAATGAGGTGTCTAGCCACCTTGAGGACGAATGATGTTTTATTCAAGAGAACAGCTTCTGCACAGGAGGCGAAAACTGTTCAGGACCGGTTTCAAGTGACTCTTCCCCATTTCACATTTTCAAACGAATCTGCTCCTATCTTTTGATTCCAACGTGCTGGACCATCCTATTCGAGCTATGTTAGGGGACAGAGCCTGCACTAAACATGCATCCACATGGATGAGCCGGAGCCTTTTCTCTGCAAAGTTTCGAAGAGAACACTCCAGGAATGCCATGCGGGCCACAGTAGAGTTGCGTTCGAAGCAACTTGGGAGCCATACTCACAACAACAGGGGAGCATATCCAATAGGTTCCATTCTTCCATACGCAAATGTATGGCTAAAGATTGTGTAATCTCTCGAAAATAAATCCACTCTGTGAGAAGTTACAAGTTGAAAAATGTGGTGTAATATTCATGGGACACCCTATCGTCTTGAGATGTGTAAATCATATCTGTTTGGAATTTCACACATTTATTTTCAACAATAACAAACTTCTACACAGTGTTAGACAACATTAGCAGAAATTCTGCACTACAGTTGTTACCCATTTCTTCACAAAAAGAAGGAATAATAAAAACTAGTTTTGGAAAATGGTCAGCAAATTGAGTATGGTCGTTCTAAAGTAGGCGCTTCGCCTTGTTTCTACCTTGTTCTCCTGATTTTTTCAGTGGCACTTTACTTTTGCTCAAACGCTTGGTGATCCTGAACTACTGGTTTCATTCTCAGCGACTGAGCTTATCAGCAAGCATTCGAAAAGTTATCTTGAAGTGAAGAAACGCCTAGTTTAAAAGACACAAGTTAACAAAGGCAGTACGATAGGAAGGCTAAAACCACTGTCAAAAAATGATGGGGATGGACAGCAAATGTGAAATGTGGAAAAAATTGAGAAATATGTAAAAAAAAAATCGTATTATGTCGCTGTAGATATCATTCCACATAAAATCTACATCGATTAAATTACGATTTTGTGACAGTTCAACACAGCTGGTTGGGCGGAGATGTATGTTCTTTATGAAGGGGGCGTGGCGTGCCGCACAATGGGAGACATACACGGGTACCCCACAGGAGGCCCACAGGAGGCCGTCGCGCGTCAGAAGGCCGGGGGCGGCGAGTTGCAGCATGCATGTGTGATGTAGGACGTGCAAAGGGCCTCCGTGGTTAATTCTTTGATGACAATGGCGGATTTGACCGGGGTGCAACCTGGGGTTGCGCAAGACAACTGAGAGGGGGTCGTATTCAGCCGACCGAAAAGGGAGGGGGTCGTATCCACAGACGGGCTGCAAGACGGCTTGAAAAGTGCAGTGTCCGGGAGTGCACTTTCAGCCTCTAATGTTCTCCAGGAGCTCTGCACGCTGTCGGAGAGTCACACAGACATGAGCTCCATGGGAGCATTAAAGCATGCAGAGCACTATAAGTCTCACCATCAGCTTATTATCCTTAAGCGACGCTATCCGGACTGCGCGTTTGGCATAGCAGACATAGATCAAT